TATGTATACAGCTTGCAGTCAACACATGTCAATTTTCACTGTTCTGTTTATCTTTTGTCTACGCTCGTTAGCTGAAAAATCGCTGTTGAAGAAGGAGGCGCAGAGGCTACGTAGAGCCAGGGTAACTAATTTGCTGACATATAAAACATTTTTTTTTTTTTTAATACAGCGGAACATTTGCTCCTCTGTTAATTGCTTTTCAAAGTCGGACATACGTTAGAAAATAAAATTTAGGATTAAACTACAATGAAAATATATGTGATACAAGAACTCACTTTAAATCTATTAGAGTTGCATTCGACTTATAACATTGAAATGGGGTTCAATGTGCTTTACTAGTTGCTGATTTGGTTCCAAAATCGAGAAATATACGATTAGCAAAGCTAACAAAGCGCACTCAAGACCTAGCGTAGGCGAGCAAAGGCACTTTACGTACATACATATAGTCTAATATATAGGTATATAGATGATATATGACATATACTCCATAAGTTAACGCCTCTCCTTTAATTTGTATACGTGTGTATGTATTCATTCATATACTCGTGGTAGCCCAAAATGAAATCGAAATCGAAAATGTTTGTCGAGTGGGTGTCAGACAACAACAACTACAACTACAACAACAACATCTACTGCAACAGCCAGATGCAAAACAAATGCATTCATTCATGCATTTACTTCTCTTTTTTCGGCTCAGAGCGTTGCGTTTATAGCTCTCAAGAGTTGCTTGGCTCTTGGCAACGTTCCCAGCTGCCCCACAGCTGTTTGCCAACAACAACTACAACAACAACAACAGCAACAAAGATGCGTTGGCGTATGCAAACAGCGAACCGAATAAACAGGCTCGACTTACTACCAGCCTATCGACTGTTAAAACTCATATGCAGATTTCAGCATACCCTGCACGTGTGGTAGAAGAAGAATGGTATTAGTTATGCATGATAACTCTGACTAAATGAAAATCCCTCACAATTGTATGGCTACTGCTAGAAACGAGAAACCGAATATAAACTATATATTATATAGAGCTAATCAGCATTCATAATGGCGTCTCCGCTCTCTCTCTTCATAGAAACCTGTTTTTCAATTTACATAGATGCACTTTGCCTATACCTGTATATGATGTACGTAATATACAGAAGTCTAGCTCCATAGTTTTAAATCAATAAAATGCAAAATTAAAGTCTTAATATGAAAACATCCTTAAACACAACTGCAAAAACACTGCAAGGGTATTAAATCGTCGTGCAAGCTCACACAACAAAAAGCTTGGTAGGTGGGTTGTTAGGTAGACAACGTTGTCTTCCATTTGCCCAAAAGCATAATTAAAAATAAAACTTACATCGCTCAAGGCGAACTTAACTGAGTAAGCAACAACAACAAAAACTACAAAAATGTTTTCGTTGTTGCTGCGGCTGTTGCTGTTGCAATTGTTTAGGCCGGTCATAAGCAGAACGCAACTTTAAATAGCTCACAAAACACAGAGCGAAAAAGTAAATAGAAATTCCCAATTTTTCCATAAATTTAATTATACATAATATGTACCTATATGTACATACACATATAAATAAATACATATATATTTATGCAGCCAGAAATTTGTTTGTTGATTCAGCCGCAGGCGCAGGCCGTAAACAAATGTGAAAAGACAGCAAAAAAAAAAAAAAAAAAAAGAAAACAGATTAAAAGATGGCCAAAGAGCTAGCTGAAATGTTGGCCAACATTATGGTAGCCGCAAGCAAAATAGATAGAGAGACTAGCTAAGTAGACAGCAGAAAACTAGCTAAAAGACAGCTCTAAGTCTAGCCAAATAGTCAGTTTTAGGGCAATCCAAAAAATTTGAATAGATGACAGCTGCAAAGCAGAAGACTTCAATACAGGCAGAGAATATAAAAATAAGACCGATAGTACTGATCGCATCTGACTGCATAATACTCGCGCACGAGTCTGCATCAGAACTAATATACTCACTTTTGACTGCATGAACGCGCATACGCGGACTGAAAGTCAGCCAAAAGGAACCGAAACCAAGTTAATTCGTTGCCGACAGCTGTTGGCATTTCAATTGCCCGCCCTCTCTCCATCTCTCTCTTTCTCTCTCAGTGTCTCTCTTTGTCTTCTGTTGCACAGGTGCAGCAGCAGTTGAATGGTTTTCTTTTGGGATTGGGTTGCACGTTTGCTAGCTGCAACGCAGAGACATCAGATAAGCGCACAAAGCAAAATGTGCCAAGTGCAGATACAAACACGCACATACACAGAGAGGCACACATGTGTTTGTATATGTAAGCTAATAGCCTAGCCAAAAAATATCTTTAAAAAAATTCCAAACATATCAGATGAAATATATCTATATAGTCTAACGGAACTTGAGACTCGCGTCTTGACGCGGGAAAGCTTTGGATAGAAGAGCCTAGGTTTATAATCTAGAATTACTCTGAGTAAACAATTATACAGGCTGTTTGCATTAACAAGTTTGGCTTTAACATTTATTTAAACAAAATGCAAATATAAAGAGGGAAATCGGTATGGAAAAATAGATCAAAAAATATATAAAAGAATAAAGATATAGATACTGCAGGACTACGACTAGAGCTGCTCCGCAAATCGAGGTTGCACTGTACATGCCAGTTCCCTTATCAGCTGCAGCCCCGTATCAAAGTCGTTTCAAAGGTATGCAAAGGCACAGGCAAATGCACATGCGAACAGACAGACACATTTCAAATGAAATTGAGATAAGAAGACAACAACAACGAAAACAAAATAGAAATTCTAATAAAACAACATTTACAGTTAGACAGTTACAACGCACAGCACCGTTTGCTGCTCTGATTACGAAATGGAGACACAGCACACCCATAAAGAAGTATAAGACAGGGCAAGAAAACAACATCAAACCAACCCCGTTTCATATGTTATTTCCCTGTAGGATATGTTAACCCCCAAAAAAGGTAAAAAAAAAAAAAATTATAATTCTTATACGGATTTAATAGCATAAACAAAGTCAATGTACCCCTCTAGCCACCGCCGGATGCTGTTGAAATACGCCAACGCTTTATCATTATGCCCCAAACATAAGAAAAACAAAATAAAAGAGACAAAACCAAGAACAACAACAACAGTTAATAAGTAGCCCACGCATAATGCAAAATGTTTGTGCTAAAAATGTGCACAGTAAAACACACACATTCACAACAAGGCAGAGCGGTTAGAGGTGAAAGAGTAACAGAGAGATAGGGCATCATTAGAGATGAGCGAGGGGGCAATTGCAAATTGGAAAATACATTATAAGTGGGAAAGGGTGAAAGTGTTCAAGACAGCAAATGAACAAAAACACTTTATTCAGCAATGCATCTAAATTTTGTAATTTTTTAAGAAATTATTCACTGCACTTAATTGCGCTATACACATACGTATGCATTTAGCTGCATGCACGATTAATTCGTGTCACGGCACGTGCGCACATCTAATGGCGAGTGCTTGCACTTGCGCAAATAGCGCGACAAACTTCAAAAAGGGAGCACAAAATTGCTGTTGTTCTTGTTTTTGTTGTTGTTGTTACTGTTAATGTAGCTCTGGTTCCTGTTGTTTTGTTGTTGTTGCTGCTGGTGGCTGGCTGGCAATGAAAGGAGTTTTCATGGCTTATGGTTGGACTGGAATCGACACTGGAGGGCCTTGGAATATGAAGTGCGTGAGACTGTTTGTGAAGCTGGAAGCTGTGTTTGTCTGTCTGTCTTTCAGCTTTTGAGTAATTAGCACACTTGAGTGGAACGCAGAGAGGGAACGATAGAATAACAACAAAGGCAAGTGCAAGAAGCAGCACATTTCAAGGATACTCACGGTTCTTGAATATATTCGCAGTCAGCTTCCAGCTGCAGTTGCAACGCAGCGGCGCTTCAAAAGAATCCTGCAAACAATTACACAGCGTTTCCTCCCCTTGCAGCCGGCACCCGGTTTTGGTTTGTGTATATATATATATATTTGTGTGTGTATATATATTTGTGTGTGTGTGTGTTAGTTATTTTTGTTGCTGCAGTTGTTTTTGTTTAGTTGGGCTGCAGCACATTCCAGGCGGCAAAAGCGCACAAAAGAGTATAGAAGAGGAGAGCACGCGTCTCGCTCTCTCCACCCGTCTTCACCAGCAGGACTTTGGGCTTTGTTCAAACAAACTACCCTGACGGCGATCCTTGCACAGTTGTTATTGCTCTTGCTGTTATAATTCTTGTTGTACACACACGCACACAAGTAAAATCACAATCACAGACAGGCACTCACACACATGCACATAAAATTATTCACTTTTTAAATTTAAATATGTACACACTTTTCGCCGCTATTTTTTATCTTTTCTTCTATTTCTATTTTCGCACTGTTCTCAAAGCAAGCAACAGTAAAACGCCGTTGCCGCCGCCACCTTCGTCGTCTAACAGTTAATTTTTTTTTCGCCAGGCGCCGTCGTCTCGATTTCAAAGCTGCTCCTGTCAATTACGATTTGCATTTTCGTTATTTAATTCAAGACAATAAAAATAATACAGCCGCCGATTTGTAGGAAACTGATTTCAAAACCAATGCTAATACGTTTTATATGCACGCACACTATTACACGGCTGTTTTATTTAGGCGCGCGCTTTATTCGGTGCATTATTATGTTATCAAATAGCATTTAATTATTTAACAAATTTAACACTTTAAATCGCGCGCACCGTCTGCCGCACGTCTGACTCGCTCGGCGTTGTTTTTGCTTCTGTCTCTTCGATATCAACTGCACAGTGTTGGAGAGCGCATAAAACGATAAGTTTACGTACGATAGATCGATAGGCGTATCATATTGCTCATATTTGCGCTGCTGTAGTTGAGTATGCGACCAACTTCATGTAGAATGCTGTAACGGAAACTCAAAATATTTTTGAAAGAAACAAAAAAAATACGGAATTTTATTGAATTTATTAAAAATCAAATACACGTGAAATGATGATTCTATTTAAATAATTTTTTTAAACAACGTTTAAGGTATTTATTTGTTCTTCATTTGTTTCATTTGTCCGTTTAAAATCTCGATTTTTAAGGTAATACGTCAGAATTATCACACAAGCCTAGCTTATAATAAAAATATATGAAGTAGTAGCATATACAAAATACGTAAAACATACAAAACAATACCAAAAAGCAACAATTTTTTATAAATTTAGGAAAGAAAACTCATTTTGTTTTCCTTCTTTAGTCCTTCTCCAGCCTCTGCACCCTTAATTTGATATCCTTTCTAGGCATCAGCAGTAGCTTGCTGGGGTCATAGAGCATGGGTATTTGAGTCTCTGCGCTGGGCTCGTACTTGTGATGCTCCAACAGGGCAACTAAACCGATTAGTAGCTGCTGCTCTGCCAGTTGCTTGGCTATGCAGCCACGCAGACCCTGGCCGAAGGGCAGAAAGGACATTGCCGGCCTTTTAAGCACTGCATCCGGCCTAAAGCGCTCCGGATCGAAGCGTTCGGGCTCTACATAAATATTCGGATCCCGATGTATAGCTGCAACGGGAATTACCACATTGTTGCCACGAGCGATGACAAAGACCGATTCGGTCAGCTCGAATTCACGCGTGGCACGGCGCAGCAGAAAGGGATAAGGCGTATGCAGACGAAGCGTTTCTGTAAGGATCACAGAATGACAACAAAGATAAGCTACAGATATATTATAGCTGAGATTTACTAACCATTTAGCACTTGCTTCGTATAGCTGAGTTGCTGGAGTCCGTCTGTCGTCAGCTGTCCGTCGTTTGCCTTCAGCACTCGTTTAATCTCCGCTCTCGCGCGCTCTTGGAGCTCCGGCTGCAGCGCTAGCTCATAGAGACAGAAGCCAAGAGTCGCATTCAGTGGCTGCAGACCAGCCAAAATAAACCCGAACGCCTGAGCCGCAATCTGAGCATCCGTCAGCGATTTGTCAGTGGCGGCAAAGAGTTGCAGAAAGCTTTGCAGGGGCTGGCGATCTCTCTTGCGCTGTTGCTGCAATTGCTCCTGGACTAGTTTATAGAAGTAGTCATTGGCTAGCCGTTCGTAGCTCTGGTACTTCACAAGGCGTGCGAGTATGGGCAGCTCCATGGCCAAATAGGCGCGCCACAAGCTCCAGTTGCTCCAGTAGCTGCGAGTCATTAAGGAAAACTCTGATAGATCCTCGGACGACAGGCCATAAGCTAGCTTCGCTATCGACTCTACATTGTAGCTGTCCAGCAGTTGGCTAACATTCAACTCCTGCTTTCTCTCTCCCAATCCCGACTGCAACTTCCTCGAAGACTTCAGCAATTGTGGCAATAGCTTGTGCAGATTGCTGGCTGCAAAAACTGGCGCGGATTGAGCATGGAGCTGTCTCCACCGGTGCCCATCCAACTGGAATAGATTTCCGGACAGCGGCTCCACTTTCACATTGTTGTAGAGTCCTCTACTGGTGAAGTAACCGTCATTGCTGTCCAAAATGTTCCTCACCAGTTCCAAGTCCAAGATCAACAGAAAGGGCTTACATAGCACATAACACCCGATGAAGGGCGCGCGTCCTTTGTAGCTCTCGTAGAGGTAGAGCAGGAGCTGCTGGACATGCTTCTTGCCCCGCACCACCTCCGAAATGTTGCCCCACAGAAATTTTGGCTTGACATGGAGTATGCCACGTCGCTTCCAATAGCCCAAGCAGAATTTCACAAGAGCATAGAAGAGGGCCAGAGCTCCCAAAGAGCTCCAGAGAATGTGCTCCATCTGAGTCTGGATGCTTGAATGTACGTTGAGATACGACTTTGTTGCAGGTGGCGCTAGGTAGATTCAGTTGGAGTAAACTTTTTCAATTCAATCTGGGTAAGCTGCTGCCGTCCTGGTGGATCCGTTCCTAGAGGTAAAGGCTCCCCTCCAGTTGGATCTAGGCTAAGCAGCTACCTTCTTCCAATTGCAGTTTCTATATACTGGTTATTTCGTTTGCCTTTACGTTTGATAAGCGTTTCAGTCTCGCTACTGGCTTATCAGCGCCATGGTTCTACTGTGGAAATATTGATTTGCTTATCAAATGACTCGATTTCTGGCCATAACGAGCGCTAAGAAAGCGGGAGAGAGAAAGAGAACAAATTAACTATAGACTCAATGGGGAACGAACTTGAGTATTCGATTAGTGCCATAACAAATATATAATACCCTGTAATGTAGTAGTACTAGACGCTTGAACAGAAAGCAAATAAACTTGTCTAATTTATGTTACATAATACGCAGTAAGCTTATAGATCCCCTATAGAGTCCATGTTATGAATTTTCGTACGATATAAATTTACATATATCAAATGACGTAAAGTAGGCAACATCGTTTCCATTCCAATTGAAGCTCCTTTTTCATTAATCATTTCTATTTTTCTAACATTTGTTAAGTAGGCAACACTGCCAACTTGCTCGATCCTTTCCAATCGTTTTAGCAGTGGTATAAACTAGTGCAATTTATTGTTGTTATCAACTTCGTTTGATTTGGCAACACCGTTTCCTATGGAAGTTTTTCTACTTTTCCAGTATGAAGCACAGATTGTAGGCGCTGCCTTCCAGCTCGCTGCTGTGCATCCAACGCACATAACCTCGTTCAATCAGCTGTTGCTTGGAGCTAGGCACGCCTACGAAATGTGGATCCTTAAAAAAAGTCCAAATTAGTTTTAATTGGGTTCACGTTTAGGGTCACTCACCACAATGAGCAGTGAACAGCCCGCCGTTTGGCTCAGGTGAATGCCCGCAATGGCCTTTGAAGCGGTGTCACTTAACCCGCCCATAACAATTAAACCACAATAATCCACAAAGTATTCACGAATCTGCTTTAGCACCTGCTTACTGTTCAGTTGTTGCACGTGTGCAAATTTACAGGGTATATCAAATAGGGAATCTATCACAAAAAACTCCTCCATGGTGCCTATCCAATCGCGTGAGCCAACAAATCGTGCAGGTTTGTCGCCAATCCTCACCAGCAAGCGCTGAATCTCCTCAATGGAGGGCACATTCAACATGGCCGTCCTTCCACTGCGCCTGTTTATAATCCAAGAGATGGCTGTTTGGAGCGTTCGGTAGCCGCAGCCCCAGCCCGCGTCCGAGTGGCCATCGCAGCCGTAATGGAAGTACTTGAAGCTTCCTTGCGTATATAAGGTCTCACCTTTACTACCTGCTGGTGGTTGCAGAGCCAGGTGCACATCTTCCAATAACTCGTATTTATATGTTTTCTTCACAATTTCAACTTTCGACTCTGATTCACAGGTGGCTGTGTTTGTTGTCATAGTTGTTTACACGGTCGATAGACTATATGTGTATGCGCCCTATATATAACTATATTTATTTATAGTTGCGATATTTACCTTTTGCTACGTTGCAACATTAATTTTAGAAATTTAGAAATCAGATGTTTACTGCCTCGATAACGATAATACTGTGTTGCAATATTTGCCAATTGCAATTCATTTATCAGACTATCGATATGCATACATTTTTATTATCATATCACTTTTGGCGCTAATTTCAAAGTACACCAGAATCTTGTCTTCGTGTATCGATATGTGTTTGTCAGCTCTAATCGACAATTTATTCGCGCCAAGTTTGAATTTCAAACATCACTTTTTATATATCTTCAAAAATCTTAGGCGCTACGCATTTATTTAGATTTACAAATATATTTCTAGCTATATAAATGTCAAAAATTATGCGCCACTCCATATATATATAATAATATAAAACGAATGGCCTCGTTGTTTAACGCTTAGCGTATTCATTTAAAATAAATCCATTTCGCCACAATTCACATCGAGAATATCATCGTCGTAGCTGACCAATTGCTTAAGGCTTGCTGCTGCTGTAGCAGCTTTTGAAGTCGATGGCAGATCAGTATTATCGACCACATTTATATTTATTTCATGAGTTCTATATTCCGGGCTGCTTTGCTCCTGACCAACAGGCGATGGCGGAGGATTTGATACTACAAAGAGAGAAGAGTTTAGATGAAAATAATTGATGGTGCTTAAATATAATAGGGTCTTACAATTGCCTGGCTGTATTTGTGCCAATTCCTTCCGGCTATTTAATAAAGGCATTTCGGTACTCTTTTCACTTAAACATTTCTTTAGCTCCTCAACTTTACGATCCCGTATTAATGAGGCCAGTTGCTTTCGCGACTTGCTCTCATTCTGGCGATCCTCGCTGAAAATTGATTTCTGTTGCGCTGGCGTTATGAGATTATGATGCTTGAGCAGGAATAGAAAAACTCCGCCAGGTGTACGACGACGTCGGCCGTTCTGCAAAGATAAACTGAACTTCAATTCAGAGTTTCATAGATCTAATCTTAGTTTTAACTGACGTTGATCATCATTCCCCCATCAGCTTCGATGCGTTGCGTTTCCTTGTACAGCTCCAGTGGCAAATCTAAGCCAAGTATTTGAACAACACGAACTGCAAAAGAAATTGCAAGCCAGACTTAGGTCTTGAATCTTGGTTAATATTTTATCTTGAATCCTTTGATTACACACCCAAAAGTTCGTCCTTCTCCTCATACAGTTTACTGGCCATTTCGTTAGCCACATCCTTGGGTTCGCGTCCCGTCACGTCTTGCAAGTCAAGTATGTGTCGCGGCTCACTAGAATTGTCCGAAGAGCCGCTCGTTGAGGAATTGCCACGACGGGATCTCGACCTTGAACCAAGCCTACTTTTGATCGGACGTCGCTGATCCCGTCGCTGGCTGTCCAAGCAGGCAGAGCGCCCTCGCTTGAACGCCGGCTGTGAGCTGTTGCCCTCGTCAGAAGAGTTGGACAGGCGCCGCTTTAGCGCATGCTCTCCATTTAGGCGATATCTCAAAGAGAAATCATAGTTCTCCACATTACGATCGCTGCTGCTTTTGTGGTTCACATCGCAGCCGCGCATATTCTCAGTCAATGCCTCCTCCTGCAGTGCCGCTGTCCATATGTTATATTTCTTGAAGCGCGCGCGATTCGGTTCCCCAGTCGAGGAGGAGGCGGCGTCGGCGGATGAGCAGCCTTCAGCTGTGGCAGAAGACACACGTATCATAACGGTTCTTTTAATGCGCTTCTTGCGCTTTTTGTTGGAGCCGAGATTTTCGGTGCGCAGCTTTTTGATGCAGCCCTCTTCAGAGGACTCGCCGCTGGTGCTCTGCTCGCTATTCGTTTGAGACTCATCGTCCAAGGCGCTTTGAAGCTGATGGCAGGTGGCAAGCGAATTTGTTGCATTGCTTTCGGCAACTCCCTTTGCAGCTGTTGCAACGTTTGAAGCCGGCGCCGGCCGCTGCAACGGCGTATAGATCTCCTCCTCGCCGCTTGCTGACAGCTGACATGGCATTATATGCATATTAACTAACTATTTTTTATATATTCTATGTAGTTCTTTACCTCGCCATCCTCTAAATCGACGTCTTCATTTGACTGCAGCTCCATCATCTTGCAGGAAAAAATTAATTCTCTTAAGGCACTAGTGTTAAAAAACGATTGCACTAACAAAGAAATGTTTCCACTGATGGATGACGGTGTTATCGGTAAAATAGTGGCAGCACTATGCTAGAATGCAAAACCATTGTTAACGTTTTGGAAAATAATATTTAAGTGCTGTAGCCAAAATGATATTAGTTTTTTATTATTCTTCTTTATACATAGAATTTAGATAGACCTTCCAGTATTGTAATATTGATCGCAACAGCTGATTAATCAAGTGGAAACGACACAAAAAGAAAATTTCAAACTGTGGCAACTCTATTTGGCATGCAGTAAGAAGAAGAAGACACGTGCATTCTTTCATAAAGTTTTGAACGTGCTTGTCAGACGTAAAAATACAAATTTACGTCTAGTTATGGTGCGTCCAAACAATCAGCTGCCGGATAATCTTCCGCAGCTGCAGAACCTGATCAAGCGTGATCCTGAGTCCTACAGCGATGAGTTCCACACGCAATACGAACATTTTTTAAGTTTACTTGAAATCTTCGCTTTAAATCCGGGCGAGGAAAACAAATCGTTGGACGAAATAGTGATGTTTATTGCTCAGGTGGCACAATGCTATCCACAGGTGTGCCAGCAGTTCCCAAAGCACCTGACGGATTTGTTAAGGAGCAGTGCCACTGTCCTAGATCCTGCGATGAGGAATTCCTTTGTCAAAGCGTTGATTCTGCTGCGTAATAAGAATCTGGTTCCAGCATTGGATATATTGGAATTATTTTTTCAACTGCTGCGCTGCCAGGATAAGAATCTGCGCACCTTCTTGCAAACACACATCGTAACGGATATTAAGAACATGAATGCGAAGCACAAAGATATGAAGCTTAATTCGGTAAGGCAATGCGCTTGAGAATGATCTTCAGTCTTTATTAATTTATTGTTGTATTAGAGTTTGCAAAACTTTATGTACGGCATGTTGAAGGACGCCAATCCCAAGGCTGCTAAAATGTCGGTGGATATCATGATTGAGTTGTACAAGAAGAACATATGGAACGATGCCAAGACAGTGAACGTGATTGCCAGCGTGGGCTGCTTCTCGAATATAACAAAGGTTTGCAATGCATCCAGATAGTTTCCAGTAGAGCACACAGAGAACAAGCATAGCCCATTCCCAATTTCAACTAACGCTTTAAGCTAGCAACAGTACCTGGTACCATAATGCCTAGTTCTTCACAATATGTATTTCCTTTTGTTTTTTATACTCATTCACGAAAGTGAATCAGTATATTGGTTTTGTGCAATGTCCGTCTTGCTGTCCGTCCGTCTGTCCGTCTGTCCGTATGAACGCAATCTATTTCGGCGCTATTGAAGCTAGAGACTTGAAATTTGGAACACATACTCGTGTATATCTCCGATTTATAAAGTGTTAAAATTTTCCCGATCCGCCCACTAGGGNGTTACTGGTAGCCTCCTCTATCGATTCCCCAAAAATAATTTTTACGCCTCTTTAGGGGCGTGGCATATCGAAAAATACCCTGTAATTTTCACATTTTTTTAGGGTAAGCATTCAAACTTTGCAGTTAGGGTAACGTTATCTCTTTCTAAAAACTGACCAAAAATGAGGTGTCTACGCCCAGTTGGGGCGTGGCAAATCGGAAAAACCTGTATATTCTACAGTATTAGAACGAAAMTTAACTAYTAAATTGTTGAKGGKATGTGAAKGAGTATTCYGCAGTCGGTAACGCCCGACTGCAACGTTCTTACTTGTTTTTGTTTTGTTCACTTGCTACAGATGATACTTGAAAGTGAACTAATTTCTTTGCCTTGCAGGTACTTGTCACATCTCTAAAGTTCTTCCTTGGTCACGATGATGAGGATGAAGCTGGCAGCGATTCAGACAGCGAGGAGGAAGTCGATCTGAAAGGTGCGCTAATGGCAAATCGTGTGAACAAAAAGACGAAGAAACGCCAAAAACAGCTGCAACAGATTAAGAAGCAAGCGGTTAAAGCGCAAAAGAAAAAGAAAAATGCGCCAGCGTTCAACTTCTCCGGCATTCATCTGATACACAATCCTCAGGGCATGGCCGAGGGTTTGTTTAAGCAGCTGCAGTCGAGCAACGAACGCTTTGAGGTCAAGCTAATGCACCTGGATGTCATCTCAAGACTAATAGGCATTCATGAGCTCTTTCTGTTTGGCTTTTATCCGTATATCACACGGTTTCTGCAGCCGCATCAGCGGCAGGTGACGCGCATTCTTCAATTCGCAGCTCAGGCCTCCCACGAGTTAATTCCGGGTGACGTTATTGAGCCCATCTTGAAGACAATTGCAAACAATTTCATCACCGAGCGCAATTCGAGTGACGTCATGGCAATTGGCTTGAATGCCACACGAGAGATTTGCATGCGCTGTCCTTTGGCCATGGGAGAGGACTTGCTGCAGGATCTGGCCATGTACAAGACATACAAGGAGAAGTCCGTGATGATGGCCGCGCGCTCCTTGATCACGCTCTATCGCGAACAGCTGCCTGCTATGCTTCACAAGAAGGATCGAGGCAGACAAACGGAGGCGCAGGCTGAGCGCAAGGTGAGGGCCTATGGTGAAAAGGATGTCAAGGACACTGTGGTGGGTGCAGAGGTGTTGCTCAAGGACTCGAAGACAATTGACATCGGCAGTGATGATGACGACACGGATTCCAATGATGGTGAGTGGGTGACTGTGACCCACAGCGATAACGAGGATCGATGCGAGGAGCAGGCCAGTGATAGCGAGGAGGAGGAAGAGGACGATGATGATGAAGAAGAGGATGATGACGACGAAGATGATGATGAAGAGGCAGAAGAGTCCGATGAAGGCGTTGCCAGTGATTGCGAGGAGTCAACGCGCAAGGAGAAAAAGGAAAACGCAAAGTCGTCTAAAGCAGAAATAAAAATGCTCGATCAGAAGGAAGCTGCGCAGGAGCTGGCTTTGACGCGCATATTCACTGATGAGGACTTCAAGCGCATAAATGCAGCCAACCTGAAGAAAACTGTGACAAGCGCACGCAAACGTCCTCTGGAGCAGGATCGAGCTGAGTTTGTGAAGCTAAACAGCATCGAGATGATTTATAAGAAACGTAAACACGATAAGGAATCACGATTGGAGACAGTGCAGGCGGGGCGACAGGATCGCGAGCGTTTCGGCTGGAAGGATGGTCGCGTCAATGAGAATTGTTCGAAGACGAATCGAGAGAAACGCAAAACGAAGAACTTTGGCATGTTGCGGCACAAAGCACGCTCCAAGGTGAAGAAGAGCTTCAGGGATAAGCAGCTGGCCATGCGCAAGCATCTACTGCATCAGAAAAAGATGAAGTAGACGCTGAACTGGCAGCTGATGAAGAGGAAAAGGAATTGGACAGAGCTGAAGTGGATTAAAAAATGGAGACAAATCGAACAGCAGCTGATTAAGCATTCAATAAAAATAAAGGCCTGCGAGTAGCAAGTGGATAGAAATGCAAGTCGAAGTTTCCAAGGAAAGAGCGAGTTAGGCGAAAGCATCTTCTAAACCAGAAGGTGATATAAAAGAAAATAGATTAGGAAGGGGGAGGCAGCTGGAACAGCGATGAGATCGAACTTAGCTGAACTAGAAGAGAGGCTGATAAAGATGGAAGACGAAGTGTATCTGTGGATGCAAATCAGTTAAAGTTTCGGGAGCTCCTTTTGTATTGACACTGCAATAAAGTTTATTTCAATTTCTATTTTAATTTACGAGTTATTCTTGGGGGTTCACATAGTTTCTATCTGCGTCGCTTTTCCGATTTCTTCACACGCTTGGGTCCCTTGACGAAGCACCAATCCACTTGAATCGTTTGTCCCATGATATCTGTGCCATTTAGCGCCTCCTTGGCTGCCAGAGCTTGTTTGTGCGTCTCATACTCAACCAGGGCGTAACCTTTTGAGAAGCCTGTGCGTCGATCTAGATTTAAATGTATGTTCTTAATCTCTCCGTAATCGCAGAATTTCTCCTGTATTTCATCCTCCTGTGCCTCTTCGTGTATGGAGGTCACAAACAGTATCCAGCCCTCGACGGAGCGCTGTGGCCCTGGTTCCAGTTCATCGTCATCCTCGTTACGCACCCTTTCGTAACTGTGAATGGCTTCGCGTGTGTTGCTGTCGCTACCAAAACCGCGTCCTTTGCGATGTTTAGCTTTCTCCTTCAAACGTACAATGCCCTCTGTTTGTGTGGGCGTGGGGTATTATAGTAAAACATGAATAGCCGGCTTGGCAAAACGTTGAAAAATAGCGCGATATTCACATTTCGCACGGTACTTACGGTCGCCATCCTCGTCCACTTCAAACTCTTCGGCATTATCAATATCCAACACATCAGCCATTTTACTTTGATTTGTTGTTTAACTTATTTAAATAGATCTAATTGAACTATTTTAAAGAGATTTCGCCGCGTGTTGTAGTTGTGATTTTTTCAGCGTTCTTTGACAAGATTATAATGTACTAAAAAATACTATGCCGTGAACTGAACTAGTTATTAAAATAGGTTCCAAATTGGTATTTATAAAAGATAGTATTAAATACAAATATGATTAAATTGTTATTTTTTATGTAGTTGGTAATCAAGATATGATTTTTATTTAGAGCTTAAATGTTACTATTTTTGCTCATATTTGAAGAAATAAAATGTTGTCAAAATGTCAGTATTCATTTTAAGGGCTTCTCGTAATTTTGGTATTTTAGGGCTAATTATTTTTGGTCACTTGGTACTTTTAGTGCATTAGTGCGAATTATGTTTTTGTCTTTAAAAAGTTAAAGGCGAACGCACAGGGGGTCTTCAGTTAAAATCAACTACCGGGTGAGTGAAGATATAAGCGGCAATTGCGGAATTGATCAATAAATGTATACTATATATGCCCAGAAGGGTGTGTGACATGACCAGCTGCAATCGCTGACAATTAATGTTGTAAATGTTTGGTGCGTGTGTTAGCATACTCATTAATTGTATTAATTGTAGGTTTTACGATATTTGTTGCTAACGGAAACCATGGATCAAGGACAAAATGAATCTGCCAATCGATACTCAGGTAATGAGAAATTGGATAAATGTATCCATGATTGGCTTTCTTGGGATCCTAATCCAACGACCAAGAATGAAATCCAAAAATATGTGGATAACGAGGACTGGGAAACGTATGTAAAAGATATATATTATATATAAATGATTTATAATAAACTCATTTTTTTTCTAAACAGTCTCAAATTGCGGCTTTGTAAACGTATTTCATTTGGAACTGCCGGACTGCGAGCTGAAATGAGAGCGGGCTTCGATTCGATGAACGATTTGGTTGTCATTCAGTAAGTTTCCACTGAATTCGAACTCGAATTCGTATTATTCTCTGGAATGAATGATCTCATGCTAAATGACGTGTAAACTCTTTACAGAACTGCGCAGGGCATTTGTCAGTATTTAAAGGAGCAGTTTGATGAGAAGTCCTGGAGCGAGCAAGGCATTGTGTTTGGCTACGATGCCAGGCATAACAGCAAGCGTTTTGCCCAGCTCTCAGCATTGGTTTTTCTGGAAAATGGCTTTCGTGTTTATCTGTACACATGCTTTGTGGCCACACCTATTGTGCCATTTAGCATTAAGAAACTGAAATGTTTGGCAGGTGTGCAGGTGACAGCATCTCACAATCGCAAGGAAGACAATGGATATAAGGTAATCAATACATAGGTACAGTGAAAAATGCCATGAATGAAGCGAATAACTCATGCGTGTTCGAGAATCATCTAGAACGAACTTCATCAGCACTCCCAATACATCAGCGCTACAAGTCCCTCACCCTCTGAGAGTCGCGTGATCGAAAGGGATGGCAGATCATACAACATACGCGCCGTTTCTGCTTGCCCTTCAATTTCTCTCTCGCTGAAATGCATATGTGTATGTGTGTACGTAGGAGCACTGCTTTAATGACTCAATCGAGTATTAAACTTCGACTTTAACTCTCTCGCTCGCACACACACTCATACACTCACACACAGTCACAACTACATGTATTATCTATATACAAATATGTGATCTAACATATATTTTAACTTTTCCAGGTCTATTGGAGCAATGGAGCGCAAATAATCCCACCGCATGATTCGGAAATACAAAAGGCAATTGAAAAGAACTTGAAGCCACAGATAAAGAAAGATAATCTGGTGTGGAAAGATGATGGGTCTGTAGATGATAAGGCTTTGTGGTCCAAGAAGCAGCTGCAAGATCCCTATGATCAAGTTGTGCCTGCCTACTTCGAAGAATTGATAAATCAAATTCCCAAAGAACTTATCCAGGCCAACCAGGATTGTCCTTTGAAATTCGCATACACGGCCATGCAGGGAGTTGGCTATGAGTTTGTCAAGAAAGCCATCAAGTATGTGAATTTGGAGCCACTCATACCTGTGGAGGAGCAGGTCGAGCCAGATCCAGACTTCCGCAAAACGCCCATGCCCAATCCCGAGGAGGCCAAAGCTCTTGAGCTAGCCGAAAAAACGGCAAAAGACAATAAATGCCAAATCATTCTGGCCAATGATCCGGATGCAGATCGTCTGGCTGTTGCTGAAGTTTACGAGAACGAGGTTAAGATCTTTACCGGCAATGAGCTAGGCGCACTGTTAGGCTGGTGGATGTTGGAAATCATGAAGATATCAAAATCAAAAGTAGACACAAATCATGTGATGATCGCGAGCACCGTGAGCTCGAAGATCTTGAAGTCGATGGCGCAMATTGAAGGCTTTACATTCCACGAGACGTTGACGGGCTTTAAGTGGATGGCCAACAAGGCCATCGATGAGGAATTGACAGGTAAAACGGTTCTCTTCGCCTTCGAAGAAGCTATTGGTTTTATGATCTCTACTGTGGTGCCGGACAAGGATGGTGTCAGTGCCGCTGCCCACGTGGCCACCATGGCACGGTATCTATACTGCGAGAAGAAGCTGACACTGCAGCAGCAATTGGAGAACATCTATAGGCTATATGGCTATCATACTAGCATTTGTTCCTATGTCATCTGTGACGATCAAGTGAAGATCAAGCAGATCTTTAATCGCTTGCGCACCTTTGACAACGGCCAGGCGAACAGCTATCCGAGGAGCATTCTCAATGGCAAGTACCAGATCGAGCACGTGAGGGACTTGACCACGGGCTACGACAGCAGCACGGCTGATCTGAAGGCCACTCTCCCAGTTAGCTCCAGCTCCCAGATGATAACCTTTACCTTCGCGAATAACGTTGTCGTCACCCTACGCACCAGCGGCACGGAGCCCAAGATGAAATATTACGCCGAGATATGTGGAGACCGAGAGGATTCGAACTGGGAACAGCTCACGGCGACACTGAAGATTATGGTCGAGGCACTCGTGAATGAGTTCTTCGAGCCAGAGAAAAATAAACTGAAGCTCAAGTCAGCTGTCTGAACGAGTATATAGAATATAACGAATTTATAGCGCACAATCATTCATGATTATATACTATGTGCTACAGACTATAATCTACCCAGTTGTACTTGACATTAACCAAATACGCACAGTTATCTTTGTTATATATTTAGACTTTAGCTGATATTTATTCCAACTATATATATACACTTAAGCATATAGTAGACGAAATGTATTTAGCGGCATCAATTTACACCCTCAACTGATTTGATTTCACAAATAAAGAATTCCAATTTCAATTCCAACTATCACAATTAAATCCAATCTTTTGATATTTGAGCTAAAGTAAATCAGGTTTCTCCGTATACCCTAGGGATATCGTGAAGCTGTCACCAAGTGTGCCAGACATGGGCTGTCTGGTTTAGCAAGAAAGGTATGTTTATGGAATAGAATATCTTAGAGCTTACTTCGCTCTAGTTGCATTGTTCTATTGCCATATTAATATATATTGTCATCATTCCATTAACGTCGTTACAGTACTAATAGCGCTGTTCCGCAATTATTAGTTTCAATGTCAATGCCTACCCGGGTCATTTTTCCATTGTAGTGTAATAAATCCTTTACCATCAATCCTTGGCCATTGGTGCTATAATTTTATATTTATCAGTAATCATGTCCCTTGCCATCGCTCCGGCGCTACTTCGAATTCTTTCGTTGTGAAAGGGAGGTCGATGTTTGTTTTAATTCATGAGATCTTCAGAAAGGGTATATAGACTTTGTAGTGCTCAGGTTTCGCTATTTATTCTGAAGCTTCTGAAACTTAAGTGGAAATCATTAAAAACTTGAGTTGCTCTGCTTCAAAATCAAGTTCTCATAAGTATAAAAGTATACATTATACATATGTTTGTATGTCTACGTCATAAATATATTATGTATACAAGTATAATCAGGTTGTTGACTGGATCCATAGATTAACCCCCTCGAAAACAAATGAGGAGATAAGCAAAACGAGTTCATTCGAAAGTAATTTTTCGCAATTTATTTATACAGCAATTGATTGTTTATAAAATATCTATAAATATTGAAATGCATATCGGTTACACATATATGTATGTATGTATGCATATTCTGTTTAAAAGTCGTGATAAAAAAGCATTTAGCTAGAAAATGAAATGAAAAGTTGAGGCAAAAACAAGGCAAAGTATGCTAGCTTATATAAAATGGGCATATTTGTATGTAATAAATGGGATGCTAAAACTTATCATTCTATATATAGTATATATATATAAAGTGTTATCAGTTTTYATTGTTAGCTCTTACACTCAAAGATTGTGCTTTTAGTAGGTTGCTATGCACAGGTTATATGAAAAATAGAGATAGCTCTATGTATTACATATATGTATATATATACGTATATATGCATTGGCGATATCGTAAAATGCTTGTTAGCAGTCTCTTGCTTAAGTTTATGTATTTGTCACGAGTTACATTCGAGTTATAGTGCAGCTTTTTATACTATATATCCTCTATAGATATGTTCGAGTTTTAGTTGATGTTTCATGTATATATTTAAATATATATCGGAATCGCGCCTAGAGTATTATTTTAAGACATACTCTAAGCGCAAGTCCTATATCATTTTTAGACCCACAACCAGCGTATATAGGCATAGGTATATACTTTTAGGGACCATGGTTTACTTATACATACAAGTGTATATAGTTTATAAATATTTTCTACAAATTATAAAAATCATTTAAAAATCGTTTAGCTGCATTCTTAGACTGTTTTTCTCTTATTTGGAATACTTATGCTTAATACTTTGGGAACTTGTTGAAGTCGTTTCAATGGGACGTTCGATATGTGTGCGTTGAGTTTAGGATATTTTCACTGGGCTATCAAAAGTGTCGGATCAAATTGTTCATCAGACCTACCATAACAAAAACTTAAAATTAAGTCAAATGTAAATATATGAAAACTAAATACAACTTAAATTAAAATAAATCAAAATAAAAAAAACAATTTTGAACATTTGAAGAGAGAGTATTGTTTCTAAGCTGAATTCAAATTTACATTAAAAAGTTGAATACCTTAAAATGATATTGCTTAACTTCTAAAAAGGAGCTGCGGGGAAGTTATTTACTAGGTTACTTTCGAAGGAGGGCGAACTGAGACTTCGCGGAGCAAACAACCAACCAACCTTCGCCTCGAAGCTGTTGCTGAATGTAATGAGAAAGATATGGCCAGGGCCTCAGCTCTAAAGACAGGGAATGTCATGATTTCAGTAGGCGAAATATTGGAGACTAGAAATTGAAAATGGACATATAGTGAGGAGATAGCGATAATTCAAAAGAAAAGACAGAGGCAATGAGATACAGGTAGCAGCTCAAGTTATAAAATAGAGCAATGAGAGCTTGATAAAACTTAATGTTGAAAATGAGAGAAAAAGCTGCATAAATGGTAAATCAAATTAACGTACATACAAAATACATATAAATTGAAAAACATTTGAGCAGCTTTTACCTATAGGAAAGTTAGAGTATTAAAATAAATGTTAGAAAATAAATATAAAATCTTATAAATTGCTATGCCTTAATTTCATATATAAAATCTATCAATTTTAGCAGCAGCTTTGTAAATTTTATATAAACTTGTATAAAATATTAATCAAATATTATTAAATATCTGTATGTGGATGTAGAGTATCAGACGAACACATGCAAATACGATGATTGCGTTTGATTGCTGTGCGTGGGCGTTATCAAAGGAGGAGTTCTTTGCTGCTGCTGTTGATGGTGTTGCTGATGATGCTGATGTGGCTGGTGTCATACAGATGTCTCTGAGTTGAGCTTCAATACAAACTTATTGCTCTTGGGATCGACTACCTCCTCAGCCAAGTTGAAGTGGGGCAGCTTGTGTACGGTGACCATCAGGGAGACGTCGTTCTGTATCAACTGGAACGTGCATTCGTTGCTAATGGGGCGTGAGACGATGTCGTCACAAATCAGTGACCACGATTGCACCCAGCGACGCTCCTTCTCGCTCTGCATGACTGGCGATTCGGTCAGATAAGGCTCCAGGAAGGCGCGTGGCGACAAGTCATGCTTGAGGCAGTGCGCCAGATGCTTGAGTATACTCTCAAAGGTGTGCCTTGGCTGCTGCCGTGTGACACGCAAATATTTCTGCAGAGCGCGAGCCATCGAGGGAAACACCGCCTGAGCTGCCTCTTGGGGATCCAGAGGCAAGGCGGGAGCTGGTTCATTGTGTATGCGCTTGATGTGAGTGAAGGCCTCCTCGGCGGCCGTGATAAGGCGTGCGCGTCGCTTCTTGACCCGCCGCTCGTACTCGTGCTCCTCGTAGAAGCGTTCGTTGTGCGAGGAGTCGCGACGTCTTGCATTTGCCGCCAGCACAGCTCGACTCTGGCTCTGCTGCTGCGAGTTGCTGACGCCATCGACCTCGTAGTATTTGAAGCTGTTCGAGATTTTGTTACGTTGCGACTTCGATATTGATATGGGTATGCGCTCCAGATACGGATTGAAGATGGGAAAGTCCACATAGTAGTGCTGCAGCACCCACACGGCAGCACGCTGAATGCTCAGCTGGCCAAGCATATACGAGTGCGAAACGCCGTCTGGGGAGCGTATGATCTTAACATAATAGTATGGCTGCTGATGGCGCAGCTCCAGTAGGACAACCGCCACATAGTGTATGAAGAGCAGCGTGTCCACAAAGTTGGTCGCATAGCCAACTAGCGATTTATAGTCGACAGTATCGCCGCCGGTTTCCACCACAATCTTGGCGCTGTTCGTGACCTGCACAATGTAGAAGAGCCAATAGGCAAAGGTGCAAATGGTGACCAGGAGCAGCACGATCGCACGATACAGAAAGATCCGCGGCATGCTGGCCGCTGTGCGACGCATGAACAGGGCCCACAATCCAATGGCTAGCAACAGCAGTCGAGCCGCCAGCGAGACGAGCTGTCCCTTGCACTGCTCGCTACATGCCAGCAGCTGTGTGCGCACAGTCTGGGTCAATTCCGGATGATCGAAGGCCGACGGAAAGAAGCCAATGTATGGCATTACGACCATGGCGACGGGCGAGAAGAATGCGCCACAGCCGAGTAGGAAGTAGAATGTTGATTCCACGTAGCGACGGCAAGCGAAGCCGAATCCTTTCTCATTCTCCCGGTGCCACATATTGTTGATGTCTTCCATGGAAATGCTTTGCTCCGAGGTGTTGCCCGTGACAGCCGTTGTATTCTCACCCCAATTCTCATCCTGTGGCAATATCTGCACCTCAATCACCTCCTGGCCATCGCGAGAATCGTCACCTGGCAAGCCGTATAAGGGTGAGCTTCCCATTTGTATATACATGGCTGTAAATTACTCACCTGTCATATTAACACTTGTTTGATAGGGCGCCATGTCGCTGCGTCCTTTGCCGGATTTCGAAGAATGGGTGCTCCGATGTGAGTGCCTTGAGCGATCTCTGTGATATCCGTTGTTAACGGTGCCTCCGCCACCGCCACCACCACCTCCGCCTCCTCCCCCTCCTCCACTATTGTTGTTGTGATTGCGAGAGCGTCGCGAGCGTCCACTATGTTCCGATTTGACGGATTCGTTTTCCATTGCAAGCAAACAACAAAAATTGCAATTGTTGGCGTCCGTGCGTGGGCGTCAACACCTGAAACTCGCTTTGTAGCCTAATTAACTGACCGCGCTGGCTATTTTACTGTCTAACTGTAATTACGGCAGGTTTTTCCCATATGCATATACATGTATGTGTTTTTCTTTGTATGCGCGTGTGTGTGTGTTCGCACCACATTCATAGGTATTTGCTGCAAGCGGTGCTCTGGGTGGAGTCTATGCCGTTTCCACTGTTGCACATAGCTTTGCAGTCAATTTTATAACTAACAAAGGAGTACATGAACACTTTGTAGCATTTGCATATTGCTTTCATTAATATTTTTCACTATTTAATACACATTTTCACTGCTTTTTATTTCACTAAGGCTCTGCTTCGCTCTGCATTCAACCCCGACCAACAAGAATGGCAGCCAGTGTCACCACACTAAAGGAAAATAAGACAACTATGCACCCATACACACGCTGGCTATACTTTGGTATTTTACAGCACTACTTGTGTGCAAAATGCTCTGTTTAGCTGGAATTTATTACAATAATTGGAACTAGGGCCCAGCTGCGCCTTCAATAGCTCAGGTGGTAGAGCGATGCAGTGTAGTAAAAATATTTTTGTAGACCCCACAGGTCGCTGGTTCGACTCCAAGTCTAGGGATTCACTTATTTTTTTTTCTGCGCTTTTTAATGTTCTTTTTTAAATTAAAAAAAAAAATACATCAATATTTTCTTACTTAATGTTTTTACTATTTAGAGGCTAGCACGCAGTTATACTGCGTAGCAGCTGCCTGGCTTGCTGATTGATTGGATTCATGCGTATGGCGCTTTGAATAAGCTTGAGGGATTGAGTCCTATCCACACGTTCCAGAGCTCGGCTGGCATAGATGGTTGTCTCTGATAGCTCATTGGCATTGTTGCTGATATGGATATATAAGAAAAACGTTAGATATACAATCAAACATATACACAAAGAGAGTGTTGCCTACCTGTCACTCAAGAAGCTGGGCTTTAATTTCAGCGTAATCAAAGCCATATTAGCTAAGGCTTTTTCATAAGTCGCATCGTTCGGGAAATAGTCCAGCAGAAATTTGACAAAAATTTTGCGTACCGCAGGATTTTGAGGAAACATACGCACGCGTTGTTGAAGATAGTTCAAAGCCTGACGAGGGCCCTCCTGAAAATGAGAGATATTATAGTTATAGTGATAAATAAAATTTAAATTTTCATTGCTCACATTAATTAAGCAGTAATTAGCAGTTAGGTAGGACACATCAGTCGAGTACTTCTCATTGAATTGATACTTCTGTAGCTCTGGAATAATGATCTTAATCAGCTCATTATCCCGATGCAACACACCCAAAGCAAAGGCCGAGAATAAGGCTTGAATGGGAGCACCTTTGAGAAGTATGCTATTCGAATATATAGAAACAAATTAGACTTGATGGGATACAGACTTTAGAGCCATTTCTCGCATACCATTGATAAAGCAGTGTTTTGGTATCCGTATCGCCTTGCGAGGCATATACTAGGGAGGCCATGGCAACCAATATAGTGGCTGCCTTTTCTTCATCCTGCGCCATGCCGCTGGCCAACAGGTTGGAGTATGTTGCATACGATTCATGAGATTGTCCACAGCGATAATAGGCCAAAGCCAGTCCAGATATGGGCTTAAAGGAAGCATGCGCTACATTGTCAAAGGCGCAGACTGCCTGCTCCGGCTGACCGAGCTTCAAGTAAAGATACCCTAGATTCGTATAAAGATTATCTCGGTCTGTGCCGGGCTGCGCTTGCTGGCAGGCGCGTGTAAATGAATTAATTGCCTGCTTGTAGAGCTTTTGGCGTGCGAAAAGAAAGCCCTGAAATGTAAGCGACGCAATGCAGGCCTCCGACTCCTCATTCTGCACAAACCTGAAATAGACAAATCATTATCAAAATGTTATGCAATAAAAACAACTAGAAATAGCAGACCAATTGATGGCATCCAAGGCATATATATCCGCATGCATATGCTCTATTGCATGCTTGTTGTGCGGCTTATCGCGCAGCACCGGATCGGAGAGCACACGGCAAACCCAATGGGCATAACCAATAGCTGCTTCTGGATGATATTCGAACTGCTGGCAATGCCGAAATAAATCGAAAGCCTCCTCCTGCTCGCCAATTATTTCAGCTACCAAAGCCTGTCCTATCCAAGCATTCGGATAAATCGGACTCGATTGCTGGGCACGCTTAAAGGCCTCGTTAGCTAATCTTATATCGCCTAGCTTAAAATACAATACGCCGAGATTTGTCCAAGCTGTATAGGATTTTCGTTCAGTCACAACAGCTTGGATCAAACAATGTTGAGCCACAGGAAAATTCTCATTGGCTGCGTGCATATTGATCACACCCAACAAATTCCAGTTCTGCCAGCGATTGCTCTGCGCCTTGATGGCCATCTTGCACACCTTGGCAGCTAACTCCAGATGACTCTTCGCATCCTCTGGCATGTAGACGGCGCTATAGTAGCTGCATAAGGCCAACTCATACCACAAGAATGTGTTTTGCTTCAGTTTTAAGGCGCACAAGTAAAATCTTTGCGCCAGCTGCAGTAGATCTTTGCGTGATAGATACACAATTTTCTCCTCTCGCTTCGCCAAATTGCCAGCAACATCCAAATTAGCTAAGGATTTAGGTAACTGAGCTGTTTGCACCAAAACACTCGCAGTGAGTCGCCAAAGCCAAACCATGCACTGAGCCTTGCTTTGCAAGAAGGCACTGAAGAGAATTGAAAAGGAAACTAATTAATCTGATCCAATATACAATATCTACTGCTCAACAACCTCTGCAGATGCTCCAAAGCCATTTGGAAGTTATCCTTGGCACGTCCATACAGATTTTGACTCTTTAGATTGTGGGCAAGACTTATATGCGCCTCTGCAGCGCCTTTCAAAGCAGGCAAATAATCTGGGTACTGTTTGAGTAGCTCATCAAAGTCAGCAATTGCCTCTGGATACATGCGAATGGTCTAAAAGACATAGAGATATAAGTTAATATATACTACATACAAACAAATCTGTTCAATTACCGTTTTAATCAGAGCTATTTGCAGTTGAGCGTAACTGTTGTTGGGCGAAAGCTCGAGAATTTTTTGAAAGACACGAATTGCTGAGTTGTAAGAGCCGCGTGCTGCGTATGCATCGCCCAGGGATTCCCAATAGACCATGCATTTATAGTCGTGCTTAATAGCAAGACGAAAGCATTGAATAGCCTAAGAAGAGTATGTATAGTACATAATCAGAGAATGATAAGTGTATTCAGCTGAATTAGAACTAATTAACATAGGAGGAATATGCGTACATTATCCAGTTTTTTCACTTTCAAAAAGTGCAATCCCAGTTTGTACTGCAAGCGAATGGCATCATCACTGCTCAAGTGGCGTAAGGTATTGAGCAACAGTGCTTCATTTAGATCCTCTTCGCCCAACTGCTGATAGATTGAGCTTAAGGCATCCACAGCCTCTTCGGCCAAAGCATTCAGACTAACGCACTTCTCAAAACATTTACGCGCTCGTAAAATATCATCATTCGCTTGATACAAGTGCCCCAAGTGCTCGAAGCATTCAGCTATGTGGGGCTGTAGTCGTGTAGCCTTCAGCATGCAGTTCAGCGCCTCGGCGAAATTTTGCAGCTTCATATTCAGCTTGCCACGCAGCAGCAGCGCTTCGAATGATTCATTGTTGGCTAGGGCTTCAAGAGCTTCCGATGGCGGACTATAAAACGGATATAGATGTTAGGCTTATGAGTGCCATGTGACCAACTAGGCTTACAGTAGAAATTCAGCGTGTGTAACTGCATCTAATGGCAAGGACTTCAACTTTTCCACTTCTCCCAGTTTATAATAGCACCTGAAGGTAGAGACAAGATGGAGAAATATAGGCTACTATCTACTATTCTATAGAGATATTCTACAAACCGTGCTAGAGCCTTCAAGCTAAGTTCATCTGTTGCTGCTTTATCCTTCAGCAGCTTAGACGCCTCCTCCAATAGTTTGGCATCCATTTTATAGGACAAACACTGAGCATACTCTTCATGCTGCTCGCCCAGCTCCTGCCACAGCAACAGCGCTAATTTATGAGCTCCCAATTTCATGTGAATCCTAGCCAGAAGCTGTTGAGTCATCCTGTAGCTTGGTTGGTATTCCAGAGCTTGCAAAGCCAATTGTCGAGCCGCAACGAACTGCTCTTTTGAATACAACTCTAAAGCCTGAACAAGCAGGGCTAAATTTGATTTGGGATTGAGTTGCAGCAGCTGTGCGGCATATTCTGAAACAGAGCGACGCAGTTCGCTTTGCCAAGCTTTATTGTTCACCTTCTCATGATTCTCGCAGTGCATCATACAGATCCATTCATAGGCATAGACATCGCGTGGATGTGATTCAGTCATATTGCAAGCGTGGCGCATGCAGCTAACATAGTCCTGCTGCTTGTAGAGGAACTTCAGATAACGCTTGTAGACCATGCTCTGTAGATCGGCATCGCCCACTGACAACAGTTTGTCCATGCTCATCTTGTACTATCAGGTAGAGAGCGGGATTATAATTAAGCTGGGATATTGCCACAAGCATTACTTACGAGTTCTATTTCTGCGGCTGGCACCTCCATTTCGCTGGTAAACCATAATCTGCCCAGATACTCTAGGATCTTATTGATATGGCTATCATTCGGATTCTGTGCCTTCTTCTTGAAAATGTCAAGGCATGATTTAGTCAACGCAGCATCCGCCGCCAAGGCGTAGAGCTTTTCATAGTATTCCAAGCATTTCTCTCTACAATTACAAAATTTGTTGGACCTATTTGTTAATTCTTCGATTGGTCACACTTACGGCAATAGCTCCATGAGCTGCTCGTAAATTTGTGGCAGCTCCTCTGCGGGCGCACAATTCGCCAGTCCTTGCAACGCGACTGTGGCGGGTCCTTCGGTATACTCAATGGACTTGCGGAGAAATTTGGCCGCCTCTACTTTGTCAATATTCTGGTAGGCAGCGCCCAGCAACAAGTAACCCATATAATTCTTTGGATCGCTCTTGAGTAGACGCTGCAATAAATGTCAAAGTCAGCAAAAATAACAAAAGATTTCTATTTCCATTTGTCTTCACTTGGCATTTATGTATGGCGTCTCCATATTTGGCCATTTTAATTGTTTCCCGTATGTCCTTGATTAGGGCTTTTGATTCCTTGGTACTCATTGTGGATATCATAGAAATTAAATTTATTTTATCAGCTTATTTCAATTGAAATGGTCAACATCAATGTGACGCTACACAAATTATATTCTTGAATGAATCGAATAAACATCCTGCTCTATCGACTTGCAAATACCCTGCTAGTATATCGACTCAGCTTTGAAAATGAAAACTGCATAAGTAAATGATATAACTAATCAGTTGTAATTTAATAAACAGATGTGCAATGTTTCATTATATACAAAACTTTGCAACTATCAACCATATCATCAACGTATCTACAAGTGTAGCAACAGTAAGACGAACTTGTTTTGGTCAGATTGCAGGTGATTTTGTGTGATAGGGGAACACTGATCATTATCAGCCGGCAGAAGTTCAGTGTTGGAAATAGATTAATATACTTGGATTAATTAGGCACATACGCACATGCCAATAAATTTCATGCAAATCACTCTGCGAAATGAAACTTGATTCGAATTCCGTCGAATAAACAAGAAAATTTCAATTTTAACCAAGTGCTGCAAGTGTCGATAGAACTTGTTGCGGCCTGTGAAGCAGCTACATTTTCGTACGATAGAGCAACACTGAAAGTTGTTTGTCATAAATAGCTATAATAATGCGAAAGTATCAACAATTGGCGCTCTTGCTAATATCCTGCTTCAGTGTGGGTGTGCTCATGATGTACAAGAGCGAAAACAATCGCTTAAAATATGTTTTAAAGTATGTCAACTTCTTTGGCCGCAACGATGCAGCCGTGCTGCGTCGCATACAGAACAGCACAACGGCCGAGGATGAGGAGCGCCAATCCAAATGGGTGTTCACTAAGCCGCTGCCCGTTTGGCAGGTGATTGGTGACTCCTTTTATGCCTACTCTGCATACTGGTATGGAATATAGTCATCTTTGTCATATAGTATTTATGCCTAACTTAACATTTTTTGTGCCTTTGCAGGAAACAAAAGGAGCTGGTCGTTGGGGGCGAAGCTCACGTCATTGTTGTTGGCAAGAAGGGAGCCGTTGTGGACTTTCGGTGCAGCTTTGACGTGGGCGGCCGCAGTGTTCAGGGCAAATTTCGCTTTCAACGCGATGCAGCGGAGGGCGTGGTCGATGACAAGGCCAGCACCTTTACCAATTACAATTTCTTTTGTCAAGTCAGCCGCAATTTCGGGCAGCCAAAGTACGTTTCCTTTAGCGATGCGACGTCTCCAATCAAGAGGCAAGTGAAGCTGCATCTTCGGCACTTGAAGCCGGCAAAGACAGCTGCCCAGGCAACAACAGCAACAGCAGCAGCAGCAGTACCAGCTGGAGCGACCCTTACTGAAGTGCCTGTTCGCTTTCCTGCAACAATTTGTGTTGATTTGGTTAGCTTTGATGTGGGTTCGCGATTCGCGCGCAATGTGGATGCCATGGTGCAGTTCTTCCTCTTCCACCAGGCGCTGGGTGTCCAGCACTTTCTAGTTTACAACTACGATGAACTGCCGGAGCAAGTTGTACGCCTTTTGGAGCGCACCAAAATGCATCTGTATAGCTTGCCCTTCAACTTCCCATTTTTGCAAACAAATGGCACAGCTGCTCGCATTCGTCAGCTGCTGCAGACGGATTGCCTGCTACGCAATGTGAACTATGCTAGCTTCACGATGCTGCTCACTCCGAACGAACTGGTGTATCCAAATGCACGCTTCGCGGGCAACTTGGGCAAGAGCTCGCTGCAGCGGCAACTGCGAGCCTACGACAGCGAAACAGTTCGCTTTGAGCTGTCCACATTTGCCGTCTGCTTTGATGAGCGCAAGAAGCTGCTCATAGACAACGTGCATTACGATCCAGAATTGAGGTCCAAGGTGCTCCTATATCGCCTGGAGTTACCAGCAGCGCAGCTCCTGCTGCCCACAGCGAAGGGCGTGGAGCTGCCACTGTCCAGTGGCTTTGCGCATCGCTATGTAGAGTGCCAACAGGTGGGCGCGGATGGACTACACGATTGGCGCACAGGCGTGCGGGAGGAGCTGATGGAGCACATCACTCAGCTGCGCAATGAAGTCGATTTACTCATTTAGATGCTAAGTCTAGAGTTGATTAAGCTAGTTAGGTTAAGCTAAAAGTATTGACTCAATTCGACTGCCATAATGCCAAAAGCTTTAGCTATGACGTTTTTTCACTCGACTTCAAATCTTGTATAGTATTAGACAATTTTTAAAGAAAAACAATTGGACAATTGAATTGGCCGAAAAGGAAGAGTTAGCGAAAATGTCTAAATGGATACTATTCAATTAAAGTGGGCAGCCAATAAGAAAATTGATTTAATAAAATTAGAGTATTGTGTAATATCGAAAATTTTCTGTCGCTTCGACTTTATTACTATTTAAGCCTTCGCTAGGTCTATTGACTATTGAAAAATTCAGTGAATTTTATATACATATTAAGTATTTGTCAAACATAAAAAATTAATTTCAATTCAATTTCAATTGTCTATGCCTCTTCCAATTGTAAGACGAGCAATAAAAAATAAACAATTAGCTCATGGAACGTCCAATCGACTTATTTTCATCAACATCCGATTAGATAATATTCTTTACTTGAAATTTCAATTTTGAATTAATCAATTCCAATTTAAACTGCCTTATAGAAAATAGCAGATGACACATGCCTGACTAAACACGTTTCAATTTTATATATTATATATATATATATAAAGACACATATTGTAAACATCGATTGGGTAGTACAATATTGTTTTAGATATTTCTTTTCTGTTCATTTTTTGTGAATGTTTGCAGTTGTATTTGAGGGACTGAACTGCATTTGAATGCGCCATATCCAATTACTATTAATATTCATTATTATTATAAATTTTCTGTGTTTATCGGTTTTATTTTAGGCGTTGCATAAGCGCAGCATTCCTGAGGCCAGCCTTCTCGATGGTGGAGCTGTCATCGCTTAGCTCGCGTGTAGGAAACGAAGAGACCAAAACAAAGTTACTATTCGAGTACTGCGGACGAGCACTGTAAGTAAAAGAGAGAGAATATAGCAAACAGGTTTACAAGCCGGATTGAAGTCTAAATTACTTTTGTATAAAGCGACGTATGTCGGAAACAGTGTGCGTCAAATTGAACTGAGCCGCCAGCCTAGAGCCGTCTGCCAAGCGTATTTGGAGCGTTGTCAAAGGAGCTTCGGCATTCAAGTTTAGGGCATCTCGTGCAGTTGCCTCGTGGCTGGCCACTTCAGTAGGTGATGCCGCAGCGGCAGCAGCGGCTGGTGCTTTATTGGTCACAATGTTGGCCACCGGACTGCCAAGTTTCTGGCCCGAACCCTTGAAGGTTTGTGGCACTGCCTGACGCTTGAAATCCTCCTGTCTGTGATCCTCCACATCTACATTGACCATGCGACCCATTTCCAGCAGCTCTTGGGGGATTTCACTAGAAAAGAGTCGCCGAGATAAATATAATACATTTTGGAATATCAAACCAAATGCTTACCCCCTCATCACGGTCTCCAGGAACTCCTTGTTCTGCGGATCATCATAGTGACGCAGTTCACCGCCATCGATAGAGAAACCTTGGCTCCATAGCTTAAGCACCACAACCGGCTTGTTTTCCGTTGCCTGTGCTGCTTGATTGGTACCCACTACTGTATGATCACTATCTGTCATGCCCAGCCGCATGCCCTGACCCCAAACGTTGCCGCCGCCGACAGCCGAGGCGCTGGTGGAGGGTCCGACACCCACTTCGGCTATGTTTTGCTCCTGTGCCGAGCGCATCATATCGGTCAACTGCTCGCGAAAGTTCTTACGTTTGGCCGGTCCCAAAACTTGCTGCCCAGAACGATCAGATCCTCCGGCATAGAATGCCTGATGCTCGTCATCACTAGATGGTTGCTTCGACATGTCGCTGAGCGTAGCAAATCTAAAATGAACATAGAAATAGTGTCTGCATAAAGCAAACTCTGCTCACTTACTTTGGTTTATTAGCGGCGGCTTTTGGCGGAGCAGTCGCAGAAGCAACTGATGCAGCTGGGACGCTTTTTGCTGCTGAGGCTGTAGCGGCAGCGACGTTGGCGCCAGCGCCGACGCCAGCAGAGGTCGTGGTTGTTACCGGCGCCGATGTTGGATTGCTCGACTGACCCCCTACAGTTGGAGTAGCTGGCAAATCAGTCTGTGTGCTCCAGTAGTTACCTAGCGCTTGCTGCACATTCACATATAAAAAATGCATCATTTCAGACCGTTCTTTGTTAAATAGTTTCACTGCAAAACTTTACCTCAATGTCCCAGTCGCAGCTGGATAGATAAAAACGGGCAACGTTTTCATCAGTGCCAGTGATTTCAATGAATTGTGCAGTTAGATCGCCGCGAGCGGCCATTTTTTATAATGTTTTTACTTAGTTTTTGCGTCAAAAACAAAATAAATCTAAAAGTTTCTAGTGAACGATAATGATAGACAAAAATTCAGTGTGTCTCTAAAGCTTATTATTGACAAGAGTGTGACCCTATCGATTTCAGTCAAATATGCCAAAAAAAATACCAGACAGGGTTGCTTTTATCGATATTTTTCAGCTGCCATCGAAAGTGGAACTGTGGCAACTCTGTTCGGCGGGCACTTCAAATATATATAAACACAATTTTGAGCTTTTCGTCTTAACATTTTCATTTTATTAAATAGCAACTAAATAACAATATAACTAATATAAAGCGAAATATCCATATAGCATAACATCACCCACCGGTTTTTTCGTATTTAGAGTACAAAAAGTACATGGTTTTACTTAGTTTGATTTTGCGTCCTGAAAGTATAGATTGATGCATACAAAAAATAAATACAACAGTTTAAAGAATTTATAAGCATTAAGCCTGTGTTGTGAACATATCCATAGGCATATTTCAATATACTTAAAATTCTAGTAAATTAGTAGAAGCAAGCCCAACGAGTTAGAAATTAACACTACTCCAAATATGCTTCCAAAAATATATTCAAGGATTGAATTAAATATATTTTATTTAAATATATGTATATATATGTATATATGTTAACTGTCCACTGGCTGATGAAGTTGCAACACGATTTTTAAGTCCGCCATTTGTTGGGTATACAAAAGTTCTAACGCAACACCTTGCCCTAGAATATTTGGGATATGATTTATGAATTGAAATTCGTAAATTTTGTTGTAGTGCAATGTGTTGATTGTGCGTGATGTACATACATGTAAAATTAAAGACATTAATAGGCGTACCAACAAATGACATAGACTTATTAAACATGTACCTTCCTTACCTGCAAATAGTAGTTGGTCAAAAAGGTGAGACCAACGCCCAAACCAACTGCCAGGATGTGCGTCAAGTGTAAATTGGGCAGAGGTCGACGTTTGCGCAAAAGGAATGAAAGCAACGAAGCCTTACGATCCGAATAAGGCGGATAGCGAGCGCTGTAAGGATCAAGATGAATTATATGTACTTATATAAGAGAATAATGTTATACTAACGATGCCATCTTTTCGCCTAGCAGGGCCAAATTCTTGCCCAGGCAAGATTTCTTATGTGTGAACGTATCAAAGCCATATTTGCCATGGTAGCTGCCCATGCCGCTCATGCCGACGCCGCCAAAAGGCAGGGTATCAACTGTGAATAAAAGCACGGTATATAAGTATACAGTAATAATATTAGCATTATAAGTGTACGAGGATGGTTTGAAAAATTTATAAAAACAAATATGATATGAACTCACAGTTTCGAATAAACAATAATTCATTTAATGCATTGTTATTAGCTTGCAAATTTTTTAAACCAACCTCGAAATTAGTGTTAGTTTTATAAAGCTTTATATCTATAAAATTTCTAGTGTTAATTGCACACCAAACACCAATTGTTAATTTGCGCAGTTAGTTAATAAATTGCGGAATTTTGTTCAAAGTTTGTAAATTTACATAATATATACAAAAATCAATTCAATAAGCCAAATTTCTTAATAAACAATACACATTCAATAGCTTGTACTTAGGTGTTGTGTGTGCTGCAGGGTTTTTGTGTCTCGGTTTAGTTTTGAACCAAACTATTCTTTATATCAACAATAAAACAATTTAATTTTGCTGCAAAATGTGTTTGAATTTGAAAACAAAGTTCTTGAAAGTGCATACAAATGTAAATAAAAATATAAGCTACATCTACAATATATATACATATACATAAATATACCTCCGACATGCATAATAGTTTCGTTGCTGCAGAATCCGCCGCTTGTCGTGTTCTTCTTGAACTCATTGACAATCTTTTTTGAGTTTGAGAATACGTAGAGCACTAAAGGTTTCTCTCTATTTAAAAACAATGAAACAAAGCGCTAAAGATATTTGCATATGTATAGTCAAAAATACTAACGAAATTGAACAAACAATTACGGGAATTATTAATACATGATATTTGATGAATAACAAAACAAAATGACGAATATGTATTGGAGTATAAGTTTGAAGTGTTGTTTTTTACTTAAAACTTGTTCAAAAATTAAAATTTTGTTTGAAAAAACCAAAAATAAATTAAAAAAAATATACTACATATGTATTTATAGATGAGCTTCATTCGGCAGTTCTATTTGATCAGCTTCGTAGGATACGGAGTCAGCAGGAGTGAAACGAACTGGTTCGTTTAAACTTTCATTCGAGAGAGTGAACTTAAAATAAGTAAAGTATCGATAACTGAACTGACAGATTACACGTTAATCGTTAATCATTATCTGCTAAATTCTAAATGCCATTGCATTTCTTCAATAGAGATACAGATATTAGATAACTACCAAATCTACACAATAATAAACTGCATTTAACCTGCAAGATTTACTTTTATTTTTCTAATGCTTATGATGTATTTAATCGGGAATCAAGGAGCAAAAAAACCTAAGTTTAGATATATATATAAAAGTAAATATATATAAAAGCCAATTTAATATTATAGAGAATTTGTTTAATATAGCATTAAATAAATATTTAAAAATAAATTTAAAAAAATTAAAATAGCAAAAAATATGTAAAATAAAAATACATTTAGGGAACACAAATCGCATAAAAAAGATTTCAAGAACATATTTAAAATTTATATACAAATCATTTAAAAACCGTCACCAGATCTTAACTCCTAACTATTTACAGCTTAAAAAACAAATTATTTAAAAAAAAAAAAAAAAACTGTACAGGCATTATAGGGAGCAACAGAAAGAAGGACGAGGGGCAGCCGTAACCTTAATAAACAATTGTTCATAGCGGAGATAATTGGAAGAAGAGGTAAGCTGGGGCTTATAGCATCCTTATATACATATATTTATATATACATGTATGAATAACCGCAGCCACAAAATTGGAAATTCGCAATTTCATCCATGTTTGATCTTGGATCTTACCGGCATAATGCATAATCGTGTCGTTAACGCACATTCCGCCCGATTGGGTGCCATTGACAAATAGATCGAGCACCTCATTTTCCGACGTGAATATATACATGACGAGAGGGTTTTCTCTAACATTTTTGGGTGTTTTTTTTTTTCGATTGATTTAACAGATATAGAAATAATATTATATAAGCAACTCGGAACCAATCGGAATTCGTGTGTGACAAATGCAAAGAACAAATGACAAAATGAAATTCACATTTTAACACGTCCGGCTTGACGTACAGACAGTCTTACCTGGCATTGATGAACTTAATTGCATCATAGGCATTCTCTACAGTGTAGATGGGCAAGATGGGACCGAAGATTTCCTCCTCCATAACGGGATCATTGGCCTTAACGTCAACCAGAATTGTTGGCTCTATGAAACGTTCGCTGGCATCGTATTTACCACCAACTGCAATGCGTCCGGCTTTCATCAAGCCCAACAGACGTCTGCAAAAGATGGAAGTATTAATACGGGACAGAATATGCGGAATATGTTTCGAATTACTGGAAATTAGTCTGGTTAATGATGCGACTCAAATCGGGACTGCTCTGTATATTGTCGCCGTACCATTCCTTGAGCACCTCTTTCACTTCCACAATGAATTTCTGCTCAATTTCCTTGGAGCAGAGTATATAATCGGGGGCAATGCACGTTTGTCCACAGTTAATTAGCTTGCCCCATAAAATGCGCTTCACAGCTGTGCGCAGCTCAACCGATTTGTCTATATAGCACGGACTGCAAAACACAAATTTAATTTCATTATTTTTTTAATGAATATGTATTTATTATGGGTTTAACGAACCTCTTGCCACCCAACTCCAAGGTCGTTGGTGTTAAATACTTAGCAGCAGCTGCATGCACAATTTTGCCCACGCGCGTGCTGCCCGTGTAGAAAATGTAATCAAAACGTTGTTCCAAAAGCTCAGCTGTTTCACTCGGTCCGGCACAGACGACGGGATAGCAATCCTGCAAAGAGATTAGACAATACAAGTCATACATAGCTAGGCCACAATCTCTGCTAATTTATGTAGATATCTCATCTATTGTTATGCTCAATTTACAGTTAGGTATCCTATATAAACATAGTTTAGTTTATGGATAACAACAAAACTAGTTTAGCAGGCTTTTAGCTTTGGAATCACATCCAAAATCAATGATGGGAGTGGGATAATAAGATAATCTTTTTATGCTAGAATTCTCCAGTCTTTCTCACGCACATTATCCAAATATTTGGGTAGAGTCTCTGCTATGAACTTTGCACAATTGCCCGCAATTTCGCTTGGCTTGAGGATCACACAGTTGCCAGCAGCAATGGCAGCAGCAACGGGCACCAACAGCAGCTGCAGCGGGTAGTTCCAGGCGCCAATCACCAGAACAACTCCATAGGGATCCTTGTAGATATGCACATCATCCAGCAAATTGACAATCGATTTGTCTGGCTGCAAATGGAAAACAAACATAGATCAATTATATATATGTAAGTCTCCCTTTAACTGATGCTATTCTATTTGCAAATACTCACCTTTTCTGGCTTGACCCATTCGTCCAGGTTGTACAGTATATGCTTGATGTCATTCTTCATAAACTCCGTCTCGACGATCAAACTTTCCTGTTTGGGCCGGCGCAGATCCGCCTCAAGGGCGCTGATAATCTCGTTCTCATGTTCCTCATAGCAGCGCAGCAAGTTTTCCAATTGTTTGCGTCTAATTTGCGGGAGATTTATCGATAATATGTTAGTTATATGAGTGACAGATCAAGAGTGAGTATACTGGACTAGTAGATACGCTAGTCATACTGCATAGCTAAAACTAACTCTCAGTTCTAGTTTAGTCTTGATATGCTCGACTAAACTATTTTACAGGGTATCCCATAAGGTCAAACCAATTGAAAAACTCGTTCAGTCGAGTCGAGTTTATTTATACAACAAATCTAGCTCTTTAATTGGATGACTTTTTTATAGCTACATAGTTTACAGGGTATTAAGATTGTTATTTACAGAACTTGTTTGCCTGAAAGTTGTTTCAGGCACTAATTATATGGAATTAGCACAACTAATAACAATTCGTGCGCTCTTTGATCTATAATATCGTAAAACCTACCATCAATTAAACTGGCATTCGATTTTTATTAAACAACAATACAAAATCTTTATATATATATA